CAGCAAGCCGTGATAAGCCGGCTTATCTTTGAACACTAGGAGAGGTGGTCCGGTGCATAATCAAGTAACACATTGAAATCAAATATAAAATTATCGACTTCAATAAAGTATTTATGTATATTGGGAAATCATGTGCATGCATTCTCATGGCCCTGTTTAGCCATCTTTCAATCCGTTGACTTCCGTTAACTTGACATTCAGATATATTTCTTAAATTATCAACCTTATTATATACTAAAATTCCTACATCTGTTTTCAAAAAGGTGTTATACTTATGCGGAGAATCGAAATACTGATAAACATTTTTTTATAAAACTTACGTAGTTCTATAAAATTATATAAATGTTATATAAAATTTTTATATAGATTTACAAACCCAATGTAGACTTATATGGTTAAAATTTTTAGATATAATTTGATATAATATTTATGTATAGTTTATTTATTATTTATATAAATATAAAATTTATGTAAACTTTATCTATATCTACATAAAATAATGTAATTTACTTTAGCTATTTCTCAAAAGTGACTAAGGTAATCAGTGTTTGATATACTAAGTAAAAATATTCTGCATGCCCGAAAACCTTCCCCAAACTACTAATTTAAACTTTAAAACCAAATCCTAGCTTTAATATTCAAGGTAAAATTATTTGCAATTTTATATAAACCTATATAAAAGTCTATATAGATTTATATAACTAACTATACAAAATCTACATTGGGTTTATAAAGTTTTATAAGTTTAAATAAAAATTCTACCTAACTTTATATAAACATTTTATATAAATCTATGTAAAAATGTACTTCCTGATGAGTAAAGATCTGATTATAGCAATATGATCTGTTTTTAAAAATTCACTCTTATTTGTCTCTCATCGGAGGTTACAAATAAAAAATCAAACGAAAAAATCAATTATGGGTTATCTGTCCTTTCCGCTTTTGTGCTATAGCTACTAACAGTGCTGGATTTGAGAGTATCGAATGAAGCGACTTATACTTGCCACCTAACTCCCAAACTATTATAGTTTGGGCTTGTCCACACCCAAATTCCAAACTAAACAATTGATATATATTTTTATAGCTATATATAATATATTTACAAAATATTAAGATTATTTTTTGATTTAATTTTTTATAAAAGCAATTTGTTTTTTGGGGGTTTGAGATTTGTCCAGGTTTTGCCAGCAAGTATACTTACTTATATTACTATTTGCTATAAGTGTTACTAAGAATACACCTTTAAAGGGCAGGGCGAAAAAACCAAAAAACCCACCGCTTACCGAGTCATCTTAATGGCTGCCGTCTTGACAGGACATTTCGACTTCAACATCAGTTTACAACTGTCGTCTCAACAGACCATTTCTTATCACAAAATCTAAACCCTGACTGCTGTCTCGACAGGTCTTCGTTATCGCTTTGTTAGTCCCCCATTAAGATTGGGTAGGGTGGGACAAAAAGCAGTTAGCAGAAAAAAAAAGAAATTACCTTTTCAGTAAAAAAACTGTTTCCCCTAAATTACTACAAATGATTACTAATGGAAAATTTATAACGACACTTAAATCACATACGAAATCATATGATAAATCAATACAATGCACCATTAAACATTACAAATGCCCCGTGATCGTTTTGAGATAAAAAAGCTGCTCTGATACTTTATAAAAATTAGTCTATCAAGTTTGTTTCTGCTATATAATTCTAATAGCTTATAATTTTTTCAAATCTGATAACCTCTCAATACTGATACAAAACCTTTCACTACTAATATCAGTTTGGGAGATTCAACAATATTCTGGTTAATGCTTGATTATAGAAATTATATAATTCAAGTTGTTATGCAGTTAACAGGGATGCAATACTTACAAAACACATAAACATAGATAAATATAAATCATGCACCCGTCAACGCAACTTGGGGCAGCACAACAAATTAACGTAAAAAAAATAGATCAAGATTCAGACATGACTTTCTATCAACTTCTGAATTTGGTAACTATGAGGTATTGGGCAGTGCAAAGATCACATCATGGGAAAATACATGGAAACTCAGACATGACTTTCTATCAACTTCTGTATCTAGTAATTGTAAGAGAATTATAAGGAAATCACCCAAACAGGATCCACCGAGGCATACATTCCATTTGGGATCTTCTTTAGTATAGCTGGCAATATAGAAATATTATAAAATTATAATATAAAAAAACTTTAACCCTAACCTTAATCTAACTTTAACATAAACTATAAATCTCACCCTAATCCTAACTATTCTCAATTTGCTTAAATTAGGTTAAATAGTTATTTATTTATATTATAATCTTATAATAATTCTATATTGCCCAGTTATATTAAAGATCAACCTCCATTTGCGATCCAGCCCCACCACTATAGATACATGTCTTATGAAATACTAAATTTAAAAAAAAAGAAAAAATCTGAATTAAATATTCCTAGCACATCAAGTAGGAATAGTTCGAATCCTGCCATTTTTGTGGCAACTGCTTACATGTATTTCATTTGCAGCTGGCCTGTGTTACACAGATGGAAACTACTGGCCTATGCTTGCACTGTGCTATCTATAGGATACCTGGTGTAATATTGGTTGCCTTTTTTCAGGTGTATATCTTGTTTCAATTTATTTGTACATTAATTGCAGCATTCTTTAAATAAAACGAAAAGAATCATATTACATGACACTTGTATACATATTTGTTTTTTTTGAACAATGCTAGCAATCAGTTAAGCCGGAATGAGTAGTTTATTAAAAAGTTAGCAGAATATATAAATAGCTAAAATGAGCAATTGGCCGAGTTGGCCAGAACGGCAAAGACCACTCATGAAAGTAGCAATCGTGATTGTACTAGGGTCACTATGGGAGCAGCCAGTAGTTTCTCACTTGCCACAGCAAGCCGGCTAAACAAAGAAATAATATAATCACATGTTCTTTATATGGGAGTTGGCTGGGTGGGTCACAAAATTTTTTGGCCAAGTGCAGACCAGTCTGTCTCTAATTTTTATACTTACACTCATTCAACACCCGTTTCTGTTCTTGCTTGCTTTTGGGCCATGCTATATATCATTTGCATGTGTCTTCTATATATGTGTATGAATTTTCCATGCCATTTTGATCTTTACATGTGCCAGCATGTTGAGGCTAGTGTGAGGCCATTGTATAGTGTTTCTCTTTTCGATCACGTGATCTACTATCATTTTGCATTAATGCTTTTTAAGATTATTTGATTATCAGATTATCTAAATTCCTGATTTATCTAAGATTATTTTCTGGGGTATTGAACATATACTAATAATCATGCACACATGCATGTACTGTATGTATGTACATACATACAGCACTATATATAATAGAGATTAGAAAATTGAACACATAAAATTTTAATATGCGAATTACATATGAATTATTAACTGTATTTATTTTGCTAAACTCAAGCCAATATTAGATTTATTTGCAAATTCTATTATGAATTCTATTTATTTCAATCTAAAAGCTAGATAGCTGCACAATGTTTTTGTGCAAACCAGGACGGAATATATAAACAAAAATAAAATTAAGAGAAGCAATTGTAATATAAGTAGCTGTGTGACATTGTTACACAAAACCAAGAACATGAAAATTTGCATATTATAATAGTTTATGGTAGTTAATTTTGATTTATAATTAAGTGCAAATATGCTCAGTATCAATTTAAGTATAGTGTATATCATTTTGTAATTAGTAAACTACAGTAATTTGTTTTTTATATAATAAATACTTCTAATGGATACTTAATCTAATCTATTTAACAAGTTTATGCAGAGTTGTGAATAGACATAGCTCAATCAAAAATTGAATTTTCTAATCGTCTAATGGTCTAATTGTCTCGATTTGGTTGAGAATAGACATGTCTATTTAAATAAAATTTTCATTTGACAATATGTCTATTGGTCTATTGGTTCAATTAATTTACCATATAATTCCAGATTATATAAGAAAAATATCATAATTAGCACTAATTAATTCTTAATGCTAAAAATTTTACTGCTAAAAATAGCTCTTTCATTAAGTTTAGAATTGTTTAACAATCCAAAAAGTTAAATATCAAAGTAATTAATTAAAATTAAAAGTATAATATAGTTTACAAGAAACATGAAAATGGTATAATTAAATATAATATAAATGGCAAAGTAAATAAATAAAGAAACCAAGTATTTTTTTGGTTTAAAAACACACACAAAATTGATATATCACAATCATACTTATTTGTAAACAAAATATATAGAACATGAAATTAAAGCCTTTCTAGATTAGATGTATGTATGTACAAGAGAAAGTATTTCTGCTTAATCTTGTGACATTTACTACAAATAAAAAATTGCAAAAATGAAAACCTTCAAAATTACTATCACTGTAGTTATATTTAATTAAAATAAAACAATTAATACTTGTGCAGTCTTTATCAATTCTGAGTAGTTTATTAAATATTAAATATTTTGTTAAGTTTTTATTTCAAAAATAAACAATTATATCTCTTAAATTGTTTTGCAGCCAAATTTGTCTGCAAACTTTTTTAAATTTTAAAATTTTTTAATAAAATTTTAAATATTGATTTTAGCTATATCTTTTCTAAGTAAAATATTTAATTTGAGATTTGTTTTATTAGCTTTGTTAAGAAAATTTTTTAAAATTATTAAAAAACTTTAGCACAATAAAAGTTTAAAGTTTTTGTATTAAAATTTTTACTATACAATTCTTCTTTAGGCTATGCAAACTCATATAATTGGTTCTCATAACTGGGCAGATCATCAGACCCAAGATAAGAAATTTTAATTTTTGGGCGCAGTAAGAAATTAACCAGGCGGGTCATTAGACCCAAGATAAGAAATTTTAATTTTTGGGCACAGTAAAAAATTATCCAATTATAATTAACCAAATTTTATTTCAAAAGATGTACGTCATATGATTTGATTGGTAAGTAATACATATATAAAAAATGCATTAGCTATTACACATTCTCTATTTCATTACAAGACTTTTTACTGCTTTTATCTGTTGGCACCCATTTATAATGCCTTTTTGAATTTGTATTACAGTTGTTACACATCAGATATATATTTTTTTCTACTCTTTCAACATTAGTAGCACCGCAATTACAACAAATATTAGGATAAATTTTTGCTGAGTAATACAGTTTTTCGATAGGAGAAGCACATGTTTAGAAATTATTCACAAAAATACTAGTAAAAAGCTTCTGAATAGGGTCACTAATCGCATCTTCACTACTATTAAAATTTCTAGACACAACAGTATCTTGATTGCTTTGATTATTCTCTTCATTAGATATAGCAATATCATATTCAAAATTAGAACTTTTTTCACTATCATCATTTCCATCCTCATTATCAGATTCAATTTGAGACTCTACTATTTCAGGTAATATAGCATTATTATTATCATCAAGACATCTATTAGCCGAAGTTAATTTATTGGTATTTTTAAATGATGTTCTACAAGTATATAAGATTGTATCTAGAAATTGATAAAGTATTTGACGATCCTTATCTGATATCTTTTTCGCACTGAACAGAAGTCGTGGTTTACCACATTCTGTACAAGTAACAGTAATTCTCACGTTCTTAGTATGTAATATACTGGGGCAAAATGGCATTGTGTGCTTTGATCTGTTTTTTTGTTTTATTTTTTTAGATTGCAATTGAAGCATTGTTTCTTGATACGAAGGTCTATACTTTTCAGTCATTATGGTATCATATAACTTCTCGAAAGACTTATAGTGGAAATCATTTCCTGAAATTGGATCAGGGAGGCAATGTAGTTGATTAAATACCTCAAGAGAACACCAGGGTGGTTTGCATATTGTACAATTATTCTTTCTACATTTCTTTATCGTAAAAGAATAATGATGAGTTGTACAACAATAATTGTAGAAGTCTTTCAAGCGTTGCTTTAAAAAATATAAATATAAATTTTTTTTTATTGTCTTATTTTTTATTTTTTATTTTTTATTGTCTTATTACTTTGATTTCAAATTATAATATTCACTTACTCTTTGTTTTATATGCTTTTTAGTACTATTATCACGGGTTACAGTTTCATCAATCTGGTAAATTGCTTTCCAAAAAGTTTCTATTTCTTTATCTAATACAGCATTAAATGTTTTAAATGGAATATCTTTTAAATACTGCCTTTTAAATATTTCACGAACAAGATAAATAGGGTTTTGAATGCTTTTAATTAGCTTATTTTGGAATGTAGAGTTTAATTCTGCAATTTCTCTAATTTTTTTCATTGTATTCGCCTTGCTAAAAAGTTTTTCATAATTATCTTCTATTTTGCTACGCATTAACCCTATACTTTGCAATCCTAGGTTTAGTACCAACATAATGCGTTCAACAAGGTTTTTCCATAAATGATATGGTAGCGTTCTTATAGCAACAAGATAATCAAAATCAAGTTCTAAAAACAAACAAATGTATGACAATTAAACTCTAACGAATATACATCTGTGATCAGAACCTCTATCTGTGTATAAACATAGTACAGATTTGCTTGTTTCTTGTGTTCAAAAAATATTATAGAGCTCTGCCATGTGTTGTAAAGAGGAGAATGGTTGAAATATTGGATCCTTTAAACAGATATTTATTTTCTCCATGTAGAAATTACCATTAGTTGTTTCTGAAATGTCACATAACATTGTTAAACTTGGTATCATTCCAGTTTTGGTAAAATCATGATCACTTACTACAAATTTTGTATCTTTTTCAACTATTACCTGCTTATCTCTATCTACTGCTGCTACTGGATACTCTGGCTTACAAATTTTACATCGATATTTGTTATCAAGTATTGACATATTACAAAACTTAATAGCAAACTCTTTTTCATATCTGAATAATGCTGATGCATAATATACATCTGGGTGGTCAGCACATAATTGCTGAGCTTGCACTATAAATTTTTTTTTTTTTTTTTTTTCTGGTATTAAGGTGACCTCTTTGGCCGGAGAACGTTTTATTAGATAGTTATGTTTTTCAATTACAGTAAGGGTATATATAGCCACACGTGCACCTTTTGAGTGCCT